TGCGTATCGTAGAGTTGGACATTTTTAGAGAAGATTCGTAGCCGAGGAAAAAATCCCGGAGGGGCCACGCCCGTTCGTCCCACGTCCTACGGCGGGGTCTGGTTATCACGGGCAAAGAGCTCGCCATAATTTTTTCCTTTTCCGTGCCCTTCCTCTTTTTTTTTTCCTCCCCTTTCGAATTACCGAACCCACTTGCCCATTGTCCGGAACCCTTACCCTAGGGAGGAGTATCTTAAAAGTCATCTTACGCAATTAACGGCCCCCGAAGACGCGGCCAATTGGCGGGGCTCGAGCATCTGGCGAACGCGGTTAACCCGCCGTTATTCACCTTGCGGTAATAAAACAACCCCGCTCGGCTCTTCCTCCGTTAGCGTCGTTAACTCGCCGGTCGCCGTTAATTCGGCAGGCAACGCGCTCCGTCTTTTAAATACCTAACGATGTTGTCCGAGGGGTTGCCTCTCGTCCGGCGCAGGGAGATCAAGATATCGGCGAGGAGTCACTTTCGGAGCCCCTTAAGGTGACACGTGTCATCTACACACACCAAAAATTCAAAATGCTTATAAAACTTTTCGCCAAATTGGGTGCACCGGATCATTTGGAACTTCACGAGATTATAGACCCTAAGGAAGAACGCGATGCTCGTGAAATTTTTCAATGAAAACCTTTTCTTATTTAGCCTGGACTAAAAGCCAAACCCAATTTTTTTTTTTTTTTTTGTGAAACATCATATTTCACGAGCATCGCGCTCTCCCTTAGGACCTCCATAACCACGTGCTAAAGTTTCAGATAATTCGGTGCACCCAGTTTTATATATGTCGAATGACCCTTTCATATCACCTTAAGGTGACGTACAAGTTGCATCCGAGAGGTCAGTTGTTCGCAAAAGTATTCCCCGAATTGGGGGTTCCAATTTGTTTCAAATCTTACCACACAAATCAAGAGACCGTGAGGTTGATCCTGAAACTCGGAAAATTTAGTATTTGAATTAAACAAAAATACGAAATTACGTGTAAATGAATTTAAAAAGAAGAAATTAAATTTCCTGGGTGTCGGGAGCTTTCGTTTTATTTCAAAGTACGTGATAAAATTGATATCCAGAGCGTAGGCGAATTCCGGGAAAAATGTTGATATTTTATTCTTCCCGATACTTTATATTTTTTTCCTTCCACGGTGCAGGCAAGGCGACGAACGGCACGACAATGCGCGAGGTTCGTTATGCGCCGCCACTTATGTCCCCAGACTGGTGACAAAGGGCAACCCCCTAGCATCCGAGTATAGGGGCGGGAATAAAAGGTCCCTACTTGTCGGACCAATGCTAATTTCGACCAGGGTTGACCCAGGTTAGGATTAAGTACGCGGATTAAGTACCGCCTCGGTGTCGGCTGTAATAATATCGCTTGCAGACATCTTACGTGCCCCAGGACCCGAAAGTACGAGAAAGGCCCTTCGAAGAAGGCGGGCATCTTTCAAATTCCGTTTTCTTTTCCCCCGACCGAAAGCCCTAATGGGGATTGGGGTTAAAGGGAGCCGCTCCTGGAACAACATGGCGGAAAGTGCATTTAGTGTAAGAGATGCGTGGAGGGGTGTTCGGGGAGGATAGTTCTAGGGTTTTCGGGCCTAGGGATTTTTCGCCGACTCCCGAGACCCTCGTCCTCACTTTATGCACACCGTGTATATCGCGAGGAACGCTTTGTTCGGTATAAAGAAAGTGGAGGAGGAAACTCGGTGCATCTAAATATAGAAGTGACCGTCCCAAGGAACTGCACGATCGTTAAGCCAAGTCCACACGAGATTCGCCAGCCATCGGCCCGAGGGAACCGCGGAGACCGAGCGCTGACCTTGAAACGGTTAGTCCCCTGGAATCGGATGATTTCATCCGATTTCGCCCAATTTCAAGAGGTAGCCGCCAATTTGGCAGGAAGGACACCTCGAGATGAAGAGGCGTTCAGTCGTTGAACCTGGGAACCGGGGCGAGGACCAAGATGTGACCTTGAAATTGTTGGGGATGCATGTAAAGAGATTTCATTGGATTTAATTTGACTTCTGTCGAAACTGGGTGGACGAGAATGTCGAGACGAGGTCAGCCTTCGGGCTGGGAGGTCAAACGTTGACCTTGAAATGGGGAATTTCCTGGAGGGCAAAACTGCATAATTTCCAAAGTTCGGGAAATTTCAGATTCTCAACTGTCTGACTACCGCAGTCACGAGAACCTGACGTTGACCTTGAAATGGACAATATTTCTGGTTTATTTTTTTTTTTATTTTTTTCGTTGGGTTAACCATGAAGTATCGGATGAATGAGGTTAGGGTGGCCGATTATACAAAAATGAAGATGGCTATCGGACCGATCGGCCGAGGGATACATGGAACGTTTCTTCTTCGACTAGCTGACTCAACGGCTCGCGATTCGCCAGCGGAATTTACAGCTCGGTCGCAGCTGCTGCACCCGACGACTCGCCATTTCGGGGGATTTTGCACGTGCGGATTTGAGAAAACGAAAACCAGGGACCGAGAACGAAGTGCCTCAAAGTGGGAAAACAGATAGAGGGATGTAACAAAATGTCCCTCGACGTTCTCCCCAGGTTGGAGGGGAACTCGGTTTCTCGTTTGTTGAGTCGGACTGCACCGGTAACTCGTGCATAAACTCTGGAATGTTCCCTTCGTCTCTAACGAAACGGCGGCATTATCGCGAGAGATGCAATTCTACCGCTCCGGAGGTGAATGCTCGATTCGAGTGAGACTTAACGAGATTTCGCCGGCGGATGAGCAGTTTTACCCAAGTGGAAGCGACGTTAAGAATTGTAAGGTGCCAGGAGACACGTCCACGGCGCCGTTAACACGCGGCGCCACCTACGCGCCGTTTATTGCGTTAGCACGAAAGTCTACACGAGAGATCGCGGACCAATATCCACGGGTGTTCTCTCGGCCGAGAACGAAAGAGAGAGTTATCCGACGACGATTAAATACCAGTACGATGCGCGATAACGTAAAAAGTATTCCCGAAGTATAAAGGGAGAGATTTCACCTGCCACAAAGTGTAGAGGAGTCCCCACTTCGTTATCGCGATGAAAATCGACGCGACTAGAGCTAGGAATTCTTAAAACTAAACTAAACCTAAGAATCCCTCCGCTCGAGACGGAGGGAACGGTTAGGGAGGAAAAAGGAGAATCCCCGTGTACGCGGGTCCAGCCACGCGAGGGATCTAATTGAAAACGAGGGGATTTTCTTTCTTCCTCCGCGCAAGAAGTTCAGTCGTGGCCGAGTGGTGGGGCGCGCGGCCCTGAAGCCGCGCGAGACCGCGCGAGACTACTGGCCCAAGGCCGTCGCGGGGCCCAGATTCTTCCTTGCAGCCCCCGCTCGCGGCTTCCGCCCTCCCCTCCCCCTGCGGCGTCCCTCGCGCCCGCGCGTGCGCGCGCCTATGGCCCTCTCTTTCTCTCCCCGTCTGCGTCCGCCTGCCGCTCCCGCGCTGCGTCCGGGCTCCCCTTATTTAGCCTTTCGGCTCTAGCCGGCCCGGGGTCCGGGCCCGAACTGCGCGTTTGTCCTTCAGCCGATGCCCTACTCGGCCGACGGCCGCCGACTCGGACGACTCGGCCGAGCCGGACGGCCAGTTAGCAACAGCCCGCTAACGGTCGACCTAACGGGTGGCCCGAAATTACCCGACCGGCCGGTGAATGGCGAGCGGCTGGTCGCCGCCATCTTGCCTCTTTTCGTGGCGCCATGGCGCAGTCGACGCCTCTGACGCTCCGCACCGAAACTCGACCACTGGCCGGCCGGAATTTTCTCGTTAAGGGGATGTGAAAGTGGCATCCGAAAAGTCAATCGTTCATGAAATTTCTTCCACAAACCGGACCTATCGAATCGTTTCAAACATTACAGCGTGAACACAAAGGCCCTAATGTAGGTCCTCAAACTGATGAAATTTCATTTTTTATATAAAAATGTTAAAAGCACGTATAAACAAATTAAAAAAAAATTGAAATTTTATGAGCGTCAGGACCTTCTTCCCAGCTTCCATATTCACATTGCCAAGTTTCAAACGATTCGGCGCACTCAGTTCGGAGAAATGTTTCATAGACGAGACCATTTCACGGCAGTTTCACATCACCTTAACGAGGTGATCTAATCTCTCGGAGATGGACCTCTCGTCGTTAATCTTCCCTACCGGCCGTCCTGAATTTTCTGCTCCAGGGATTACCGTCGAGGTTTTGACCGTTACGGGTCTCGAATGTTTGGATATGGGCCACTGGTTCTCTTTTTACCGCGATTAAGGGTGTGGCTTTTCCCTGGGAACGGAGTTAGCGCGAACTTCGTGGACGGAATCTACGACTCCTTCGAGTCGTTATGGTTTGTTGACTGCCTTGGACGTGTCGTGAGCCTGACCTAATCTGACCTAAGACACGACGAAGGATTGCGTGCGACTTTTGCCAGCCGAGGGCTCTCCGAAAGAACGCTTAACCGAATTACTTTCTGTCCCCGCCTTAATTAGCGCTTTACTCCGGGCTGTTCGGAACTCCTGCTGCGCTTGGCAGCGTAAATGAATAGATAAAGCGAAGAAAGGGACGCTAACGGAGGAGCCGCTCCTTCTTTCTGCCTTTATTTTCGACTTTACTTGCCCCGTCTTTGCTCCTTTGAGGACAGCCGAAGAGGATTTTGGGACGCGACCTCAGCCTCGTGGCGTCCTCACTCTCTCTTTCTGCGGTGGGTTCGTTTAAAAGGAGAAATTAAAAAGGAGAGGAAGGGAAGAGCCAAGGATTGCGCTTACGCTTATCCTTGCGCTCCATCTCCTTGGCGCGCGCGCGCGCGTCCTCGTTAACTATAACTGGGACCGAGGCTGATTTAAATTTCGCGCCAAACCCGCTCCTGAAATTCACGCTTCTTAACCTCACTTCGGAACCGGTTTAACCTGGAAGAGAGCGGGAATGAATTTTTTACGAGACGCGACGCGGTACCCGGGACGCGTATATCCGGAGTCTAATGAAATTTCTTCGCGGTATGTTCCAGGAGAAGAATTCCTTCTTGAACTACAATGTCTCCTGCATTTTAACCCTCCCGCCATACCAGCGGCAAGGGTACGGACGCCTCCTGATCGACTTCAGTGAGTATGCACTCCGCCTTTTCAATCGTACCTTTTTCTTCGAGCTTTTGCCCTCTTCCGAGCGACTGGGCAGGTTTCCACCTCTGGAACAAAGAGAAAATCATAAAGAACGACTCCCGTGACACCTCCGACTGGCGCGCCATCTTTCAAGCCATTAAAATATCCGTTAAATTCCCAAAGTGTCCCGGAAAGCGGTTAAAATACGTGACATGTAATTGCCTGGGTACGGTAGAGTGATTCCGGCGAGGCGGAGAAAGCGCGGGCCGCCGGAAAAGTGATTTATTCTTGCTTGTACCCGTCTCCGCGGATAAATCCAAGATGGCGGCGCTCTTATATATCAGGTACTGGCGTACGCGAAATTGCCGGGCGTCGCGTTCCGCCTTTATTCCCCGGTGTCCTTGGGTATAGACAAAGGAAAGTTTCGAAGGATACCTTGAGGAACTCATCCTCTCTCTCTCTCGCTCCTCCTCATTTTCGTTTTACACGAGCCAACCTAGGCCCGACACCTCCTCCGGAATGCAAACGCTTCGTCATCGTTCCGACGATAACGCATCCGGAGTCTCGTAGACCCTCGCGATGCGTATTTCCAAACCCTTCGACTCTTTGTGCCTCTCCCAACGTATATACTAAAAATACGACGAAAAGCCCAACCACGACGGCAGATACGCCCGCCGTGTTCCCGGCACGAAGGGAGTCGAGGGGAGCTCCCCGGCCGCCATCTTGGTTCTCGGAGGATCCGGAAAAAAGGAACCGTTCGAGGCCGCTCCATCGAAACCTCATCAACTCTGGATCCGATATCAAGGAAACCACCCCCGGGGCGCAGCCCGGGGATATTTTCCCCGCGCTTTAATCCCCGAGCCGGATAAAAAAATGGCGGCCGAGTCGAAAACTCGTTCGTCTCCTCCAAGGCAAGGGGTTAACCGGGTGCGCATTCGAAGCGTAGATAACGAAGCGTGGTCTCTTTGTCGTGACGTCATTTTCATTGATGCCGGCGCCGCGAGGCGGGGGCAGGGGGTCGCGCGGGGGATGGAGCGCGTCAGAGAAGGGGTGTCTCGCCGAGGCCAGCGTACTATAGGCCGCGGTGTAGGTACACGCGGGCGCACACATAGGGGTGCCCGCATGTGTGCGGCTCGGCAGGCTTCGGGCGGTCTCGGGAGAGTTCGGCGGGGTTCGCCCGACCACCGTAGCGCCGGCGGGCGGCGCAGTGGGTGGCGGAGGGTGGCGGTGAAGTATGGAGCGTACGGAGGAGTGAAGTGGTTGGCGGAAAGTGCGACGCCCGGTGCGTCTCGCCGCATCGATCGAGCCGCCGCGACCGGGAACCGGGAACCGGGAACCCCGGGGCACGGGAACCGCGGCGGTGCTCCCGGTTCCGGCCCTCCATTGTCCGGCGGGATGGAAATTGGGAAAGAATTAAACGGGACCGGGTTTCACCGGCTCTTCCGGGAGAAGAGGCTCAAATCGAGGAAACGGAGAGCCTTTAGGATGCTCACCCTCCCCGGGCATTCCCTTTTCCCGGCGATCTAATTAACCGCAAATACCTGGCAGACGTGGACTTCGATCGCGCCCCTCCACCTATAAATCCCAACCGACCAGCGTCCCCCAAAAGTATTCACTTACAAAAGTCACAATCTAACGGAAACCAACGTCCAGGCGAAATTTACCCTCCCCGCTCGAAAAGAGATTACGCGACAGCCCTTTTAATGCCCGTACACCAGGAATTAATGGGCCGGCTTGAAGTCCGGGTACAAAGAGGTCCAGACCGCCCTAGACAACCTCACGGGAGGTCTCACGAAGGATCCCCACAGCTCCTGGAGCCTCGTCTCGCGTTTCCACCCCCAGCACCCACCTCGGTCGAAAGGCAGGCAGCCCCAGAATTCCTGGAAACCGCGCGAAGATTCCTGGAAAACTCGAAAACCGCAGGACGGGGGGGAAAAAAGGGAGAAGGACGGAGGACTCGAAGGTCCGGCGAGAGAGAAAGAGCGAGAAGGGTGGCGGGCGGTGGCGACGGTTTGGCTCGCGATCCTATGACCTCCCGTGACCTCGGCACGCTCCCTGTTCCGAGAGAGGGAGAGAAAGAGAAAGAGGACCAGCCCGGGCGCCGAAGGGGGGCGCATCCTCCTTGGTCCTGGCGGGGAGGGTCCCTTCCCTCCCCGCCCCGTCCCTCCTCGTCCCATCCACCCCCGCGCCCCTCGGCCAAAAGTCTGCAAACCGAACGAGACGCGTAATGAATGCGCCCAGCCTTCCCGAAGTAATCGGGGCCGTTGCGGCGGAACGGGCGGAACGGGTGGAACGCCGGCGCGCTCCTGGGAGATCGCTCCCGGATGGTCGTTGACCCTGGATCGAATCCCGCGGGACCGGCCGGAACGCCGGGGATGACGTATCGACGCCCGCGGCGGGCTGGCCGAGGGCTACGCGTTCGATGGCTTTTGATCGTAAACCCCCTCCCCCGGCAGCCCTCGCCACCGCTCGAGAGGACGACCCTCGGGGGAGGGCCGAGCCCGACCGCTCGATTTTCGAGTCTGGAAACTACGGGCTTCGGTTAAGAGGTCACGTGACCTGGGAAATTACCGAAACGTCGATGGGTTGCGTTTTCTTTCGGCCTTTCGAGGTTAGGAACGGAGATCTTGCGATTTGAGGGCTGGTGTAAGGGATTCGGCGGTTTTGGGAGATTCGTTCACTCGGGGGGAGGATTTTCTGACCTCGATATGCAGTGTAGGGGAATTCGGCGGACGGTGGCCTGGAGAGGAAGTGCCGAGATGGGGCGCGTCGCCATCTTGTCTGGCGCGACCACCCCGCTCGCGGCGGGCGGACGCCCTATGAGCACCCCTGGCGGGTTAACGCCCGGACCTGGCGTGGATGAGTTCGTTGGCTCGTGGGGGTACAGAGAGTTCTGGGAGCTCCTGCCTAGCGGGGCGGATTTTGACTCCACAGGGTGTGATGGCGTTTTTCAGACCTCCTGGGTTAACCTCCCTTGGTGGTCGGCGGTTATTTATCGCTGTTTCTGTCGTTTTGCGGCGTTTCGACGTTTATCACCTGCCAATCGGAGTTTCTAGGCTCGGACGCGATTTTTCAGATGACCTGGCGTGCCTTGGAAGCTTAAGGTGAAGTGAAACACGTCGAGGAACTTGATCGACGTCGGTAAAGAAGATTTTTCTAAATGCCTACGTTGCCGAGGTTCGTTTTTATATTGACAACTGGGTCGAATTATATTGGGTATTGTACCAAATGGCATACTCCACCTGTCGTTTTCATACACTAAATATCAAGAATTCGAAGTAAAACTCCAGAAATCCTCTAGATTCGTGCTTTCTGGGGCCCTAATTGACTGCAGAGCGACCCCCTGCGCCATCTGTGATTTACAGGTCAATTAAATTTTCACGCCAAGACCTCGTATTCCCATCGTTTTAGCATAGAAGCGCATACAACACTATTTTGACATTTACCCCGTTCAAATGCGAGTTTATCGATTACCAGAGTGTTCTAAATTGTCGTAAAATTGTCCTGACCCTTTCGTTTCTTATATCAGAGCCTTCGATAATTGTATATCGATCGAAATATGAGAGCTCGACGCCATTATGGTTCTATCTGGGGTAAGTTACAAAATTTTTTTCCAAAAATCCAAATTTTCAATGTGTCAGGACAATTCTTAGATGATCAGGAGTGTCAAACTCAACATTCTTAGATGATCAGGAGTGTCAAACAATGGCTCGACGCCATTTTGGTTCTATCTGGGCTAAGTTAAAAATTGTTTTCCAAAAATCCAAATTTTCAATGTGTCAGGACAATTCCTAGATGATCAGGAGTGTCAAAGTTTCGGACAGTTTGGTCTAATATCCTTAAAAAAAAGTGTTGTATTCGAATCGAATGATTTGAAGGGGGTTTCACTTCACCTTAACGACCTGTCGATAATCGTTCCATGGTAATCGACAGTACCGAGCGATGGGGTCTCTCGGGCGGACTTGGGTCCGACTGGACGTCGACCCTTTCTTTGTGCCTTGCCAGGAAATCGGAGTTTTAGGGCTAGGGTTACCCCTTCCGACGGTCGTGCTCGGAAAATAGAGGTACCCGGGATCCTTTCCCATTCGGATTTCTACCAGGAACGAACCGCACTGCGGAGGCTAACAACCCGTGAAGCTCAGGCGGAATCCGAAACCCGTCGGCGAACTCTCCCGGTGGAATCGCCAATTAAACCAAGCGGAACGAGCGTTCAACCCGGCTTCATCGGGAGCATCGGAGAACGCAAGATCCTCCCAGGATCGCCGATCGTGCTCCTCGATCCTCGACATCACTATTTATACATTTCCTGTAGATTAAGGTGAAGTGAAACACCTCGAGGAACTTGATTAACGTCGATAAAGAAGATTTTTCTAAATGCCTACGTTGCCGACGTTTGTTTTTATATTGACAGCTGTATCGAATTATATCGGGCATTGTACCAAATGGCATACTCCACCTGTCGTTTTCGTACAATAATTATCAAGAAATCGAAGTAAAACTCCAGAAATCCTCTGGATTCATGCTTTCTGGGGCCCTAATTAACTGCAGAGGGACACCCTGCGCCATCTGTGATTTCCAAGTCAATTAAATTTTCACCCCGAGACCTCGTATTACCATCGTTTTGGCATAGAAGCGCATACAACACTTTTTTTGCCTTTATCCCGTTCAAATGCGAGTTTATCGATTACCAGAGTGTTCTAAATTGTCGTAAAATTGTCCTGACCCTTTCGATTCTCATATCAGAGCCTTCGATAATTGTATATTGATCGAAATATGAGAGCTCGACGGCATTTTGGTTCTGGTCTGGGCTGATTTAAAAGATTTTTTTGAGAAATCCAAATTTTGAATGTGTCAGGACAACTTTTAGACGATCAGGAGGGATGTGTCAGAGTTTCGGGCAGTTTGGTCTAATACCCTTAAAACAAAGTGTTGTATTCGAATCGACTGATTTGAAGGGGGTTTCACTTCACCTTAAAATACTCCAAGCTGAGAATTTGTGGGGAATTTTTTTAATCATATTGGGGTGGTGTTGCGGTATGTTTCGATAGAGGGAATTAATTAAGGCTTGAAAATTAGCGGTACGCGGTGTATTATTTTAGTTTTGGACCTGAATAAATATATTGACTTTTATCGGAAATCGAGCATCGTGGATGCCGCGCGACGCCCATATCGGAAAGACACGCCCGCGAACGGGTCGGGACGTTTCCGCCAATAAGTTACGGCTTACCTCGGCTCCCCTCTGGAAGTTTGTCTTCCCCGAGGTCCCCGAATCTCGTCCGGGAGCCTCCCAAAAGATAAACAGTCCTTAACTCTTTTGGACCGAGTTTTTCCACCCCTCGATCGGGGGGCGCGACGACGGAATTACAGTCGTCTGGCCGGTAAAGTCGCTCGCCCCTTTGCCGACCCCTCCTAGCTTGTCCATTGGCCTCTGACTTCGAGGGAGGAATTCCTCCCTTGTTAATAAACATCTTTATTACCCTCCTGGAATGTACGGAGGGAATTCATTTCCCGTTAATATACATTTTTCAGACGATTCCCGAGCGACTCGGTGAGGGTTGGAAATGTGTAAATTATTCTACCTAATGTTATACATAATACATAAAGATGTAAATTGGCTATGGACGATTTGGATGGTTCGCGACGGGATGGGACTACCCCAACGTTCCAATTAAAATTCTTAATCGAGGATGAGTTGGCGCGTCGTTAGAATTAATCGTCCGTTTTTACCTGGTTAACTAACGGCGGATTTTAATCTCCGGTCAGATGAACTTTAGACGGCACTGGAGAATTAATCCGAGAAAAGAAATGCATTGTTCATGCAATCGACTTTAAGTCATGGAGGGACTGTTCATCTTTTCCAGGCTACTTACTGACAAGGGTGGAGAAGAAGATCGGCTCCCCGGAAAAGCCTCTCTCGGACTTGGGACTGATATCTTATCGCAGCTACTGGAAGGACGTTCTGCTGCAGTATCTCTGCAACTTCGGCGGAAAAGAGCTCTCCGTGAAAGGTGAGCCATTTTAGGGATAAGTCTAGAGGAAGCCATCGCTCCGCCCTTTAGAAGAAAATTCCTCCTCTAGGAATTTATAAGGCAAAAAATATTAAATCTTCTATTTCTATCCAATTTCCGATTTTATTTCATGGCCCCTTCTTTCTAGATTTGGCAGTTCCAGCCATCGGTCTTATTATATGTAAAACCACGTTGTCGGGAATAATCATTTGCATACTGTGCCAAGTTTTTACCTTTTTATCCCCTTTTCTACAGACTGCGGCGTGTTTCGCCTTTCGGTGTACAAATTTTCTAGTGCACCTCGTCCTTTCTGTCTCGCATTGAATCCTCTCCCTCGTTTCAGACATCAGCAAAGAGATGGCTATCGACTCGTACGACATAGTCAGCACGTTGCAGGCTCTCGGCATGATGAAGTACTGGAAGGGCAAGCACATCATCCTGAAAAAACAGGTGAGTCCACCCCTAGCCTTTGCCGAATCCTCAAGAGACGAAAGGAAAGAGAAAAATCGAGACTCGGCCCTACTAACTAATGGCTGTCCAAGGATATGTATTTTTTTTTATTAACTTTACAAGAGTATACCTACAAAATGTCGGGTTTCCTTTTAAGCGAAGTACCGCATAGGTGTTATCATAAAAGGCGAACTCCTAGTCGAGGGCTCAAAAGTTAACGCCGATAATCCTGGACGTGTAATCGGTGAAAGTGACCCTTAATTATTTACAGGCAGCAGCTGGTAAATCGCTCTCCAGTACTGTTACTCGCATATTAGTCAGGAGTAGGATCATCTGCCGGGACATACGTGGACGTGGATATAGCGCACTCGTATTTGAAGATATATAATCTAACGTGACAGAGAAGGGTCAGGACTATGGCGAAGACTCGATATATATCACGTGCCCCGTACAATTCGAAATCACGGTCGCGAAAACGTACGTTTCCTAGTATTTAAAATAAAATTACTATCTTTTGGAATATTTTACAGCCATTGGTTGATCATTCCGGTTGATATTCACCCCTGATTTCTTTAAATTAACGCTTAAACGAGACGAAAGAACGTCGCGAGGCATTTTTCAAGATGGCGGACGCCGCGTCCCTCGGCAGCACTCTTCCACTTTGCAACCGGCTGTCAAATAATACCCGAGGTTTCGAGCAGTGCGCCACCTGCCCTGAGCGTACAATTACACCAGACTGTACGTAATGTGGTACACTTCGTATCGCTTATGTGCCCTCTTCCGTTCCGTAACGAGCCCTCGAATCACAGTAATAAGTCCCTCCGTGGATTATGGCCCGGCATTCGGAAGAACGTTAATGCTTGTCATTACGGCGATCCTTCGGACGATACTCTTTAAATCGGACTCGAATGCCCGCGCGACTGCGACTTGTTTTACAGGTTGACTAGCCCAGCCCCTTAAACGGGCAAAAGACTTCAAAAGAGGTCGAAGGAGCTCAAAGGGTCCCCGATATTCAAAGTATTCCTGACTGCTTCGTTAAACTCGAAGAGTTCAAACGTCTCGCGGGAACAAGAAGTACATGCTAATGGAGAGTGCTCCGGGACCGTGGAAGAAACTGTTTGCAGAGTCTGGCCGCGGATTTAATGCCGAATCGTTAAAGAGGTTAGGACGAGGCGATTAAAAAGTCAGGAGGGTCTCGGTGGTTTATTTTTTCTGGGCTACAATGTGGGCTTAGAATTGTATATACAAGTCATTCGGTGGTAGGTATACGTCGCTGAGTCAGATTTTCCAACGTTTGTTGCAAGATTTCTCTTGGGGGGCTGATTTTTCTAGCTGCTGCGCAAGCGCGACGCTTCCTCCGCCGGTTCGAGTTGGCTACTGACGGCGAGACCTCGGACGGGGGTGTGTCCGCCAGGGGGATGCTCGGATAATACGGTTGAAATAATTTCAGGACGTGATCGACGACTACAAGGAGCGGGTGAAGCGACGAGGACCCGTCTACAAAGAAATCGATCCCGAGTGCCTGAAATGGAACCCCTTCCAGCCACCCAAGACGCCTTCCACCTCCAACTAGAGAGGCCAACTGCCGACGCACCTTCGACCGGTCGACCCTTTCTTTGCGGGAAGCCATAAGCCATAAGCCACCTCCACCGGATTTTGCGATCCGCTGGACGCCACCCTAATGGCCATCTTCTGGGCTGGACTCTCCCTTTGAAACCTGCCGAGGTTCCTCCAGGACGCGCCGATGCTCTGCATCCAGGGAGAATGCCTTCGGAGCCGGAACTAATCCGACCACTCGAAAGGATTTATGGTGATACTTTTAGTTGCGTCGAGTCAGGAAACGCCGACTACGTGTTAATAGATTTTTAAGGGCGTCCCGAGGGTGCCTCCAAATCCCGAATCGAAATGCACGTCGAGGGACGTCGTAAAGCGGGATGGGAAGGTAATTGCAGAAATATATCCGATGCCGTCGAAATGGCACTCGGAGGACGTCCATGGCATGTCCCGGGGACGGTGTACATATTTCCCGAAGAAAAATGTCCCCGGGATGTCGAGCCCTTGGAGGCTCCCGAGGGATCTACGAAGGCAATCGTTGATTAGTTTAATTTTTACCGGGTTTTCTCCTACGGTCGAGCGTACCGTCAACGCGGAGAAATATCTGCGAGATCCTAGATCTAAGGGTTCCCAAAAAGCGACGAAAGATCGCAGATCTCCTGAACGGTTAATCGGTTAAACCCTTCACCTTGTACAGAAAGCGTGGAGCGTTGCTTGGAATCGTTGTGCTCGATTATTCGCCCGGAAGTCGAGGAAAACTCTGGAAAATTTCGGGAGCTTTTTCTCCTAAGAATTTCCAAGGTGAACATTCTCTAAAGTGTGCTACTAAAGGTTGAAAGCGTTCCGCGCGTTGCTCTCCCGTAATTTCATTGAAACTCCTAATTTAACGATTAATCTCATCCGCTTTTCTGATTTTTACAAATACTCCAGAATTTTTTTTTTTTTCTCGGAGTGTCGAGATTGGGTGATAATCATGATGGGAAAGATCAATCGGTGCAGTAACATCATGTCATTTGTATAGATCCCTTTGTAGTTTTTTTTTTTTTTTTTCCGATACTTTAAATCAACGTTAATAGATCAGTTTTTAATTTGACTCGTTCGTCGGAAAACCTTATCGGACTTATCGTTTTTCCGGGGCGCACTCGCAAGTTCAATATCAATGTATCCGGACAAGAGGGTACATTTCCGGAAAGCACGCGACATTTCCGGGCTTTCACCGAGACCTCTTTGAACTTGTAGGTCGTGTACTCGCTTTTGCATATGTTTGCTCGGAACTCGAAGCTTTGGACTGTTTAAGCTTATTTTCCTTGCTCTCGTTGAGAATTCGCTGAATCAGCGACGACCGCGAAATGGAAAGTCGACACGGAACGACTTCCGGTCGATTTTCCGACCGAGCAAGAGAGATTGACGGGCAAATCAATCTGACCGCAATTATTCCCGATGAGGCTGGGAATGTTATTAAAAAAGAACACGAGATTGTATTATATAGTACAAGAATGTTAGCGCGAATTGAAAATTGAATTAAAGAAAAAAAAATGGAAAAACGAGGTGAATCCTGGAAAATTAATCACAATGATTTCGTGTCTTTTAGATCAAACATATCTTTTAGATTTGAGAAGGGTGCGTATAAGAAATTTTTGATAAAAACCACGTTTTAGGGAACTGATGACAATTCGGTTTTCTTTCTTTTGGATTCACCTCCGTCGCAACTTTCGATGACTTTCGAATCTGAGGCGGTCTTGTAAACTGACCGTTTGTTAAAAAAAAAAAAAATGATATGTCTCATTGCATGAGATTTCAATCAATTGTAATGTAAATACGCCACGTTGACCGGAAATAAAAAAGGTAACGTGCGACGAGGAATGAAAAGTCGAGCGAGAACAATATAGTGTAATAATTCCTGCGAGGTCATTGTTTGTACGAGTCGAATCATTATACGTCTGGGCGAGAAATAAACATTCTTGCAACAATTCTGAACTAACCGATCCTGTTGGTACATTTTTAAAAACTGCCTTTCGCATCGTGAAATCGGAAGAAGAAAGCAAGATGGCTGACCACGCGCCCCGCCATCTCGAAAATTCCACTAAAATCACTTGTTTGCATTCAAAACTAACCTGATGTACGTTCCCCTCGATCTATCACGTGGTAAATAGCTGCGGTGACGTTTATTTCCTCCTTAGACACCGCCGACAAATGTATAACGACGTGAGAACATCCCAGATGACAGGTCCCGCCGCCATATTGGGAATTTCCGATGATAAGCGCGAGTGAGAATAAACATTTCTTCCCCCGAGCGCGATAACGCGATCCCTGCTACATAAATATTTACCTACCGAAGTTCCCAGCAGTGATTTGCATTAGTCTAGTGCCGGTACATTTTCCGCGTCGTCTGGAAGAAGCAAGACTCGGATGCTTCGCGCCGTGTTAGCATCCAGGCGGCCGCCATTTTTCTTCTCTTTTTTTCTTCATTCCTCGGCCACTGGTTAATCGTCCCTAAGTGCGAAACGGTGAAGACTCGCCATCGAAGGGTGACCTTCTGGAAGCTCGTTGCAAAAGGCACGAGTGAACGGCAATTTAAAGGCGATTAGTCATTCAATTTTCGTCGCGGCCCCGGTTGCTCGGTACCGGAACGCCGCCATTTTGGCGCGCCATTGCTGGGAACGTTTCAGGGAACAAAAGGACCCTCAGTATTAATATGAAATTTTATTCAAGTCATCGACGATACACAGAAGCTCCAGTAAACTTATAAATTATTCCGCGTTTCCTTTTACCGCCCCTCCCTCCCCGACTTAATTAGTTTTTCCACGTCTCCTATTAATTGGCACTTTAATGCACAGCCCCGCTAAGTTAATCGATAATTTTACACTCTATCGCTCGTAGTCTACTTATTGCGGTACTTAGTACAGTAAAAAAGCAGATATCTCACGTCCTAAGCCGTTTACAAAGTCGAGTCCCATATTTCGAGTCCTCGGAGTCGTGCGAACCGGAAACCGGAAGCGGTTTACGTCACGAGGAAGCTTCGTTCCGCAGACTGGCCCCAACGAGGGTCAACGAAATTCGACGCGTAATCGAGCTTTTCCAGTGATTTACCCCCAATGACGCCATTTTGGCAAAGTGGCCCGCCTGCCAAATCGCCGAAAGCGGGACTTTGCGCGCAGAAATGACTTGAATTATTGTGCCATAACCTTCGCAAGCGATAACGATAACCGACCCGAGAGAGCGGGCGTTGACTAACTCTTCCCTGGATTAATAGCGTATCGAGAATTCCCAGCTTTTATCGCTCGCCGTTCCGTACAGCAACAGCGTAGATAAGATAAAATTTTTGGCAGTGCCAGATTAAAGGGAGGCGAAAACTGGTACAAGCGTCGCCGGCGTAATCCCAAAGCGAAGCTTCTGGACGCTTACGTATTATTATTACCGGAGCATTTTTCCCCGTCTTATCAGGGATCGTTTCACGGAATAATGCCCGTTATTATTACGCGTAACATTTATTCCGTAACATGCGACATGGTACAGTAATATCTAAACATATGTATAATAATTAGCGATAGTACGTATAGCGTGCGGTACGGCATTCGGCCGCCATGTTGGATTTCTTTGATTCCAGAAGAACACTCTTCAACATCCGCTAGGACAATGCCGAGAGCACGCGAGGAGGAAAAAAAACCCCGGCGAGATGTTTCTGGAAACCTCGGAAGGGAATAGATTAGAATAAATTTCCCCGTCATTTAAATCCCGGGCGATATATTTTCTTTGAAAAAGGGGTTCACCGGCGAGGGCCCTCCACTTTGCAAACAATCTTCCCGGAAAATCGCCCGGGAATACAAATTTGACCCGGGACTCTCCCATTCGAGTTTTCACCTGATCCTTCACGGAAGTGAATTCATAAAGGGCCTTTGCCCGAAACCCATGAAAAGCCTTTCAAACGAGTTTCCTACTTCCCGGGAGCCAACTTTTCCCCCGAGTCTCCCCTAACCCTATTCAAATGCGAGCAGCCCCCGGGCGGGCCTAGAAGAAAATTCGAAAGGACAGTTTTGAATATCACTCGCAACGGGAATACATATTCCGAACGGCCGAAATTCCCCGGCACAATAGCCGACCGACCCGAGGAGGCCATTTTGAAAGAGCTACGATCTCCATCTCAAAGTGTCGCCCTCTGGGCCGGGGTTCCGCATTTCCTCGGTTGGTTTTTCCACCATTACGTAGCGCCAGGAGATACATACAACCTTCGACCGGCACAACGACGACAGGAAGTTCCATTTAAACGTAGAGAACAATCGCTATCGCTTCCGCGGTATCGCCAGTCCGAACACGAAACGTCAATTCTCGCGCGAAGACAATCCGCGTCCTCGAACGCGCCGCCATCTTGGATTTATGAACAGAGGGATGGAGAATAAACCTATCCGCAATTTCGTACCTATAAGCTGCAAATCCATAGAATTTCCTCCCAAGGAAACTGCCTCTTCAAACCGTAAGAGACTAGAACATCTTTTTCCACTATTGCGTCCCCTCGGCATACTCTCCATCCCTCTCTTCGTACATGCCCATCCGCCATCTTTACCGGCATCTCCTTTCTTGAGTTATCGTCGCGAAACCCCATCTCTGGTACCTTTTGTAGCAGGGCACAGTCATATGAATTGCGCTCCAACAGATGCCGGGTATCGAAGTCACCAGAGCACCTGATGAAGTACAATTAACATGCAGCCTCCACTCGGATAATATCGGTACCCCGACCTCGGCATAGCGTCTTCCTTGCAGTCCCTCCGGCAACGTCGAAGAAGCCCCTTCGCAGCGCGCGCTACTACTGGTACCTGACTGTTCGTAGAAGCGCAGCCTGAAGTACCCGAGTAGCGCGCGTTACAAATGGCGAGAATCCTCGTCGATCATCTTCACCCATAATACCTCCAAGTCCGGCGTCTTCTCTCCAAAGTTGGCCCCAAGAAGTCCGGCCGCATCGTCGGCGGCTAAAGTCACGCCGGTCCGGCGTCCGTTCCTCGGCCGGCTAACTTCCCGCCGGTCCGACGTCCGCTGCGGTCCCTCCGCGCAAACAACAAAATCAGCAACATTACTCGCTCGATCCGACCAACATGGGCGGGACAAAGGACCTTTGTCTAATAAAACGGGGATCGAATGGGCAACAATTGTTCGCCTACTCAATGGCCGCCAACGTGACAGGCCGGCTATCGAGTGAAATCGAGCAAACTCGACTCGATTTACAGCCAACGTAAGCGGCCCTTGATTAAGCGTTGCCAATTAATGCTTCATAATATATTGTAATACTCTGCGATGCATCGCGTACCACGTGATCGATTCTCTGGAATAACCTCTGACAGGTCTAGCAACGAGATGTCATTAACGATCGGCTATCATCCCTTACAATATATCATGTAGACACCTTAATGCTATATCAATGTACCTTAAAACTAAGAAAAATGGAGATTTAAACCGTAATTACCGACAAAGATATTCAAATGTCCCGAAATTGGCGCCTCGCTTCGGCCAACCGGGTTGGACCTTAACACCAGGACTACCGGCGGATTTTTTTTTCAATAGGATGGGCCATCCGAAACCAGTCATTTAGACTGGTCTTGGTAGTTCTAGTGTTAACGACGAAAAAGCCGAAGCGAAGCTCGGGGAAGCTTCACGACAATGCAATGGGATCTCGAACCGCCACTTCTTTTTCACTTTCGAGACGACGGGTTCGATTTCGCGGGAGTTTTTTTTTTTTTCCCCCGTCACGACCGTAGACGAGAGCGGGTCCGAAACACCGGGAAGCGGGACGTGGAATTAATTCCGCATATCTCGGGGTAAAAGTTAAAACTGGTGGGCGATGCACGTATCGGCGGGCCCGGCAGCGGTAAAGGCACTTCGGTTGAATTTCGCCCTAAGCGACGGTTGTAAACCCGCCCATAAACCGAGTACGAGTAAAAGGATACCCTAAATTCCCGCTCGTGTCCTCCCCTCCGTGCCGTGTATATATACCTTCCAACGGAAAAGGAAAAAAAGAGAAAAAAAAAAAGGAGAAAAAGAAAACCCGCCCCGGGATCCGATCACTTCGCAACGAGAGCACAAGAGAGCCGTTTCTCGTGCTCGAGAGCACATAGAGTAAATTGACGTCGTACAATGGAATCGCGGGGAAAGGAAGAACAAACGATCATCGCTGATAAGGTCCACCGACGAATCTACCCACGAAGAGATGTCGTTTACGGAGCAAACCGAAGATTTATTAGGGGTTCATCGTTCAGCGATCTCGGTGGGGCGGAAACGCGACGTCGCGATTTCGACGGAAAAAAAAAAAGGACGAAGCGAGAGACGCGGACGCTTATCGACATTGAAGAAGGAAAATTGGAGAACACAACGCGAATCGATACCGCGACGACGTGCCGCCATTGCGGATGTGCACCGAAATATCGACATTGCAGATGCGCGTTGCCCGCTCCTGGCGTCACACCTCGTGCCAACGTTCTTTCCCTTTCCTCGCAAAGAAAGCCGACGAACAATTAAATCTCTACCCCTTAAAATCCCACGTAAAATCCCCTAAACACGACGAGGTCAATTCTACGCCCCCCTTAACGCAGAGCGACATGAACACGCCGATAGGGACACCTCGTAGAGAAACGCCGCTTCGCAAGTTCGGCGTATCGGATGAAATTCTAGTACAGCATCTGGCATAGCACTACGTCTAGAGTATCACTTCGGAGATAACCGAAAATATCTAAAAAAAAAAAAAAACGAGAGATCAGCGTGAAAGGATGAACAACCCCAATAACCCGAGCGCGTCGAGGGTCAGAAATCGCGAGCTCCTCCCCCAGCGAGTCCCTCCCCTTTCCCCGTCTTATTTCCTCGGGAATCCCGGGGCCGTTCGAATACACATCCGCACGGATACTTATTCTTTAACGACCGGACTCGTTTATCGCCACTTTAGAATCGGCGCGCGGCA